TTTGCTAGGTGTACCCCGCCTATGCATGCCAAAAATTGTTTTGAGAAATTCGTGAACAATTTCCTGAAATATCAAGTATCGCTCGACTAGAAATATGGCTAGATCTAAACCCAGAAATAGGAATCACAATCGGGCTGACCCTATCTCAAAGCCCATTAAACCTCCAACGGATCCTGAGCTTGCTGCAATTCGAGAGAAACGAATTCTGCCGGTTTTGAAGGATCTACAGAGCGCCGAATTAAAAACTAGGTCCGGGGCTGCAAGTATAATCAGGAATATCATTGAAGACCAAAAATGCCGGAAGTTATTACTTCGTGATCAAATTGTTAGAATATTGTTTGATAATACGCTCACGGACTCAAACCTTGAGACTAAAGCTGCTGGGTGGTCAATTCTGAGCACTTTGGCGGAGCACGAAGAAGCAGATTTCTGTGTACATTTGTATAGACAAGATGTTTTAACCGCTCTTGAAGGAGTTATAAAAGCCGTACGGAGCCATTCAAGTCCATTGTGCAGAATTGCAAATGCTCATTACTTTTATAGGTGATTCAGGCTATCGAGTCCAAAGAAGCTCCAATATCTTCATTGCCCCAGGCTCAGAAATCAGTATTATGGAACATTTCAATATCAATAGTTACTTTACTGGTTGCACTCTGTGAGGCTCAAGATGAAATCGTCCAAGCAATAACCAAACAACCTATTTTTGTTAACTTCCTGTTCGGGCTGCTTGCGATGGAGATCGTTCCCTCTGATATTCAGGGAGAGGCTGCGTTATGTTTACAGACACTGACCGAAGACAACGAAGCCTTGTCTCAGTCCATAGTAGATGACGGCGGTAGACTAAAACTGCTCATTGCTCTAAAAGACTCTGGAGATCTGAAGGGTGTGGCTGCTTGCGGAGCACTGCACAATATTTTCGACTCTTTGCAATGGTTCGACCATACGGCCCCCGTTCCAGGCGCTTCGGATGCTTCTTTGATACCAACTTTAGTCAAGTACTTGGATTATGGAAATGGCCTTACCAAAGGTGCTAATGGCAATGCAACCGAGACAAATCCAGAGCAAATCCTTCAGCTAGCATTAGAAATTACCGCATCCATTGCCACGACCCTTCAAGAGGCCCTAGAGCATGATGATCGCGAGGAAGAAGAATTCGAAGGCTTCGATGACAAGGAAGAGATTGCTGAGGAGGATGATGAGATGGACGATGGAGAGGGAGAGGCCGAAAATGGAGAGATGAATGTGGAAGAAATCGATGCAGATATGGATTTAGTAACTGGAGATGCTCCAGGTGACAACGAGGATTTAGATAACCAACCTACTCTCGAACGATTAGTGCAAGACGCAGCACCGGCAATAGTGGAAATTGCAAAATCACTACAGAGTCGATCAACTGAAGACAAGACGGTCCATGGCCATGCTTTGTCAGCTTTGAACAATATTGCTTGGACTGTCTCTAGTGTCGATTTTTCGACTGGGCATCTCAACAGACTTCAAAGCTCTTGGGTATCCACGAGACGGCGAATTTGGAATGAGATTATCAGCCCCGTATTGGCTTCAAACACGGCGGACATTGCCTTAGCAGCATCAATAACGAGCCTTGCTTGGGCGGTATCCCGTGGAGCTCAGGATGGTTTGAACATACGCCCAGGGGAACACCAAAAGTTCATAGCATTGTTTCAGGCATCGGAAGGCTTAGACAAACAAATGGGATCTGATCAGAGTAATGGGGCTAAGAAGGACTCTGCGCAAGAGAACGTTGACGAATTTCAAGGTTTAGGTGTGAAATGCATAGGAGTGCTAGGCAGACTCGCATTAGATCCTGCCCCAATTGAAGTTAACTGTGAGATTGGGATTTTCCTTCTCGGTGTTATATCTTCTCTGCCTAATGCTTCAGCCGCCAACGTTGTCGAAGCCCTGAACCAAATTTTCGACATTTATGCAGATGAGACACATGCTTGTGATGAGGCAGTGTTTTGGAAAGAGGGATTCTACAAGCAATTGGAAGATTCCTTACCGAAAGTTAAACAACTGGCCAAATCCATTGACAAGAGAAAGCACAACGAGTTGCGTGCCCGAACAGATGAGGCAGTCTTGAATCTGGGCAGATTCTTGAAATATAAGCGGTCCAAAAAGGCGGCACAAAGATAAAATTTTGAATATGGTGAACCAATCCTATTACATATATTATGCTGGCAGGGGTGCAAGCAGTGGAGGCTCAACTGAAGAACTGGTGTACGACCTGATACAAACCATCAGGGTAGACTCCGATACAAGAGACGCCACGCGGGAGCTATGGATGCAGATCATCAAAGACAAAGCCTCTTTGCCCTGACAGCGATGCCCAAGGCATTTTCAAGTTCGTGTCTTATTGCAAGGATGTGGATTTGATGAGGTGTAACGCAGGGTAGAGAGGCCGCCCCGAAGAGCCCTTAGGGAGTGAAATGTCGAATTGAGACGCTGCTTAACTGTCAATTAATTAATGAAGAATTACTTCTGCAAACTAGGTACCATATAATCCCTTATATCTGTAATAGCCTGTTATTAAGTGAGCAGCTTGCTATGTACGTGCATTCTCATTCTCTTTTTTCTTTGATTCTGGACTAGCGAACGTAAGGTATGGAACTTCAAACCTTACATCGCAAACCCCCCTTTCCATCTTCAGATAGCTCACTTATCAATCAACAACACACATATTCCCAAAGCTCGCCCTACTTGTTATATCTTTTACATCCCGTCAATCGGTGAGGCGACTCTCTGGAGATGGCCGCTTTCGCCGCGACCCGTCGCTAAGCCACGTAGAGTGACCTATCCAGTGACCCCTTTGCCGTTGCCTTCTTTTGTGTACAAATGCTGTCAACTAGGCAAATGGCGGTGTGTATGGATGGATTACATGGCTTCAAAAATTTTAAAGTGAAAAATACAAGTTGTGGGCAACTAATCTTTGGTAACAGGCTTCTATAGGGCTACGAGAGGGTTCCCACCCTCTTTTTCTCAAGGATGGTGGCTAAGCAGTGGTGCCAACAACACTAAAAATTTTGAAAAATCAATGATTTTGAACATGTTGGAGTGTGAGATTGGTTGTTGCTGGCAATGCTGTGCAATGGCTATGCTATTCCATATGAATTGGAGGCTCTTGAGGGCGTTTGAAGAGACAGAGCTTTCAATCTTGGACAGAAAAGTGTATTTATACCGGTATCATCTTCTCCTTTAAACACAATACTCATCATATTGCATTTGTAACAATATATCTCTTCTATTTGACGTTCTTAAAAGAAACGGAATACAAAACTGTTTAATTGTTTTCATCAAGACCAAATATCACCATGAATAGCGGTAATCATTACTCTAGCGATCAGAATTATCAAGGAGAGCACTCATACTCAGATTCCTACAATACGGGTGCCGGGGCTACTGAGGGTAGTGAGAGCACAAACTTTGAAAGGTATGCCGAAACTTCTGCATACAATTTAGTTAGTATGGCTACCTAATCTCATTTCTTAGCCAATCTCGACCGGACTCGCAAGGAAACCAAAATACCTACCCTCCAGGCCATCATCATGAGTATCTTCCAGATATGTCTACAGTCTCTCAAGGAGACAGTCAACAACCAACATACTATTATGCTAGCGAAGTGCCAACAACTCAAGCTGGCTCTACTTCGTATCAACATGGATATTCGACTTCAACAGCCTCGGACCAGTCTCTGCCTCCTGAGCTTCAAAGTTATAACACTAATCTATGGGATCAGGTTGGTGTAGCTCATGATGCTGCTCCACGAGTCCCTCCGCCCGTCAATAATGTCCGAGTAGCTCCTTCCGATACTGGAAGATTCAACCGAGATGCAGAGGGAAGAGGACATACAGAGACTCGAGAGCGGCGTCATGAGAGCAGCCGTGGGAGCGGCGGAAACAGTGGCTCATCTGACAAGGAAAAGCGCCACAATGGCCACAGCGGGAAGAGATCATAAAGGGATCTTGAATACTCAGTCAGCGATCTTGTTACCTTAGCTGATGGTTGTATCACTATCTGTTACCAACTGCTTATGAGTACAAGATTGGCATCGTTGAACAGGCTTGTTGAGACGGAATAAGTGGGATCAAGTTGGGCGATTGATTTGCAGTGAAAGGAGAGCGGGTTGCAATTTTAGGAACATTCGCTTCGATTCGTTATAAGTGTTTTATTATGCTCTTTTTACTCTTTCAAGATCGATTTTAATTAGGTAGATTTTGCTTTCGACATTGTTTTACTATAGTTAACCTTCGTTCCTTGGTTTAAATTAGGTAGATTTTGCTTTCGATATTGTCTTACTATAGTTAACATTCGTTTTACTCAATTATCATTTTCTCCCTCATACTCTCTTTCACCCTATGACTACTGCAGTAATATTACCAGACAACTAAGCGTGTAAGATCATAAGAGTCGACAGACTTCATAGCTGCTCTTAGATTAAGGGTGTTATAATAGCCACTTTAACACTAAGGCCTAATATAACTAGACAAAAGCATCCTGAAGAACTGATCCCCATGCCTTGTGTCGCAGCAGTTGTACAAGGCAACTATATGTTTAAATGGTTCAATTGGACTTATCCAAAAGAGATGCTGGCTGATACTACCACGACTCTGCTAGGATATTTTCAGCCACATTACTTAATTGGTATGCTACTCGAGACACTTGATTCGCTACTCCCATTATGATGAAATAATTCGAAGGATTGAAAACTTCAACCATTTTATTGCTCATCCAACTTCTCGCTCATGAGTATGGTAAGAAATCTCTCACTTTCATTTCTTCAAAAAGCAAAATCAGCTCCATCCCGCATCCCTGAATAGGTTTACTAGCACACATATAATTATCGCAGCAGTTTCACAATGAGCACGACCAAGATCTCATAAACACTAAATGTTGTTCCACTATGTAGAGCGGGTTTGTTGCTTTCGGCACCCGCTAAGCTAAAATTTCTTAGAGTGAGATAGACAGTGTCGCACCCAATCACAACTGGTTGTATGGTGTAGTGGTAGCACATAGGATTTTGATGACTGTTCTCAGAAACCTTCCTGTGACCTGGGTTCGATCCCCAGTACGACCTTAAATTTTTTTAGTTGGTTTTTGTGATAAAACACTCCTGTTAAATCGGTTAGGTAGTGTAGACTTTTTTATAATCTGATATCTTGGAGTGTTAAATGTGTGTATGGGGCACGTAGCGAAAACCTAGACGAAACCATCAATTTTACCCTTCACGAAATGGAATGAGTCCCGGGATTAAAGTTAGTGTAGCATGCGGAAACAATATTCTATTTCTAGTTTCAATTTATCCGGGGCTGTTCTATTCACCTTGATAGTAACTAATGATTCATAAAATGCTATTGATCCTCATAACGGCCGTTTCACATCCTTACTCCTCATAAGCTTAATCCCTCGATGCCTAATGCTACAATTAATTCCATACATGTATCATATTCGTTTCTTTCAACAGTTGCCGCTGCTCCCAACTGGTCCAGTCCAAGCATCATCTGTAGTAACCTTATCTCCACCACAAGGTGGGACAACCAATGTACGATTAATAGTCTCGTAGATGTATGGCTGGTTGCAGTTTTCCTGACGTACGTATTGGTAAGTGACTGTCTGGCCTGCAGTAACATATGTGTTCAATTCCCAAAGGGGTCGCTCAGAGGTGTAGAGACCCGCATCTAACGGTGCTGCGTTATCAATGTTCCAGACGCCCAGTTCGTCTGCAGAACCAATCACGTAGATGTTCTCCCCAAAGTATGTGGTCGCATTGACTTGGAAGAGAACGTTGACCTGGCAGGTCGTGTTAACACTTGGTGCGCCAGCGGCTACAGCTGGTTCGTAGACTCCCTGAGTCGATGTGGCTGAGCAAGTCGCGGGTGGTGCAACAATATTGCGGGTTCCCCAGCTTGCGGGATATTGCCCTGATCTTCTCTGAGACATGGTAATAAATGCAGCATAAGACCAAGTCAAATCAGCGGCAGAGAGAGGAGCACCGTTATCACGGTTGAATTGTTCAGCAAGGGAGCCATCGGCAGGTGTGTATTTCTCAGCAATAGCAACGAAGGAATCAGCGTAGGCTGTGACGGCATCCATGATCTGAGCAAATGGGCTATTAGCATTACCGCTCTTGTATTGACGGACTTCGACGGAAGGATAAAGATCCTTGAAAAAGGGTAATGATGTTGAATCCACGACGAGATTATGGCGTGCTTTCCACTGTGCTACCGCATCGTAAAGGAATTCTGCTGCTGCCGTGGTAATAAGATACCTTGGGGAGAAGTAAGTTGAGTGTTACAATATCTATGAGTGGGGAGTGGCCTACCATGGATTTCCACCTTGGTATATATCCTCGGGATATCTTCCTACAGCAACACCGGAGTTGCTGGGGATTCCTGCATTGATGGTGTAGATCTCTCTGAAAATATCTACAACCGCCTTGAAATTTGCAAGGGACTTGCTGTGGCAAGGCTGCATGGTTGGACTGTCACAGTATGCGTCGATATCAAAGACAGCAATGGGGCCCAAGATTGAATTTGCATCCAAGCCAGTTCGTCCATTATTGACGTTGATATTGGATACCACGTAGTCCCCATTCCAGTAACTTTGAAGGAAGCAAAGGATCTCTGGTGCTTGGTCACAACCTGTGCAACTAACACGAAGGTCGTGGGCAAGTTGTGCTCCTTGTGCTAATGCGCGGTGCTGGTTTTGGGTGGTGAAAAAACTGGATCCTTCGGTCTCCTCCCAGAGATCAAATCCAGTCTGGTTCCAGTACTGTCCAACATATGACAGGTCATTTTGAATTATGGGCCAAACCACGTTTCTCGCTGTATCTGATTGTTTGTTCTTAACGAGCCAATTGCTATAAGCTATCAAGGCAATGGCCCGCAATGCGGGTCCGTCACGCTGAGGTCTTCCCCAGGCACCGTTGAATCTGGTACCGTCAACTTCGAACTTTGGTTCACCGAGCCCGAGACCTGCAGGTAAAAAGGTACCGGATGGATTGGCTACCGTCTGAAGAACGGCCTGGGCATGGATGTAGTCTTGGATAGTCGACTCCAGAGCGGTGTTACCAAATATAAACTCGTCAACAATCATCTTTAATGTTAACGCAGCATCTCGAGACCATGTGAAGAAATCTGGACGAGTCAGTAAAGCCATAGCTCATATATTTGGCAATAAACCCCAGGATATATTCCCTATAGGTTGCAGCGGTCAAGAAACACCGGGAACTACTCACAGTCAGGATCAACTTTAGAAGGGCTGGCAACGACATAGCCAGCTCCGGCTCCAGGAACCGCAGATCCATTAGGACCAATATTGTTGAGTACGCCTTGTAAAGAGATTGCTCTCTCCGTCGATATGAAGTCCTCGAGGTTGGCAAACGAGGGCCCTGCAGGTGCCGCCGGAACAGCAATCACATGTGCCAGCAGCACTGAGATGGCATATGACGTAGAATGCAGCATCATGTACATGGACTGCAATAGTAAACAGCTGAGAGTGAGATAGAACAACGTGAGCGCCATCTTGTCAACACACGGATTTACCGCCTGGTTATATGGTTGTCATCATCAGGTCAAGCTGGGATGGAGCTTTGCCAGCTCGCCTAGAGCTCCGTGCCTGGCTCGGAAGAACAGGACCAGTCAGGCATGGCTCCTTCCCCGAATTCCCCTGATTCGCGGGGTTTGCTGTAACGGGCCGATTATTTTTGCGGGGAAGGAACATGGGACTCTCCGCCCTATCAACATGTTTGGCCAGACCAGCTCCGGAAGAATATTCGCGGCTGTGTAGAACCTCAACAAGAAGGAGCCGGATACTCGAGAGAACTGACTGCCCGATGCGTGCAAGGTTAGGAGCTAAGCATTTCGAGGCTTTGATTTATTTGGCCGAGGCAGCCGACGTGCGCCTAATAGGCGCCACCCCGAATAGATGCCGAGCCACATGTTGGGATGTTGACGACTTCGGAGAAAAAAATCTGTCAGCTCGATGTCTGTTCTCCGTGATATCCCTGCGAACCATGCCAGCTTCATCTCCATAGGGCTGTCCGCGCTGTGTAGCACAGTACAGATCTGGACAGGTGAGACTTTAAGATTGCATCTGCGGCAAATTCGTGGTCGCATGCGAGACATGACGCCGTCCAATGGGTCTTCATTTCCAGGTTGAATCAAAATACTAGTGATCAAAATGACAGTAGAAAATTCCAAAGTCAAACTATAGTAGGATGTTCCATTAGACTGTCGTTATCACATGCCCGCATTTGCACGTGGTAGTGGATGATGGCTGTTGCGGCTGCCTTGCCGGGCGTGAATTGAGGGGAAACTTATTTGAATATCAAAAGTATCAAGTTTGCTCACGGAGATGAAGGCCTACCCCCGCGTCACGGCAATATATTCTTCCATTCCGGTTGTGACACTCTTACTGCTTTTGGCTCGGGACGATCCGAGTAGACCCAATTGCTTAACTTCGGGGTGGGGGAGCCTCACAAAGTAAGGGTATTAGGAGAGAAGTAAAACAGTGAGCTGAGTCTATCTGGTTAGAGCATTCTATATCACTATATAAACTGCTGGCTAGTATCTATATAGAATTAATGAGAAAGAGTTCGGTTGGCTCACGATGCGAGCACAGTGCAATGTGATTGAGAAGTTGTCCTATGGCCTAAAACTTCCTGCAAATTTAAGATGAGAGAAATCTTCGCATTTGTTAGTCTCGAGAGTCCTTGTATCTATGCTCATGGCTCTCGAGGCGTCAAATCCAAAACTAGTCCGACTACTAATGGGATGGATAGTAGTCTGTCGCTTTAATTTCAGTCACTCTTCCAGCTCTACAGTAACGCAAACTATACCGAATACCAAGATTTGTCACCCAAGATTTGTGCCGATTTTTGACTTCTACATTGACAAGTTATTTAATGGTATCAAAGCAGCGAGTGCAGAGGAACTGTCTGGTTGAGAGCAGCTCGAGTGCCACGATAAACTGTTTGCAAAGAGATGTGTTCAAGTACTCTCCCAAAACCATCACCCCATGCTCTTGCGGAATAGGCCTATAAGAAAGTTTAACAATTGAAGTGGAGTAGTTGTAATCATGCTGCTACCCTCGAGTTTAATTCCTCAACGTTGTAATGTATGTGCAGGAAGCCATGTTGACCCAGTCATAACTGCTAGAGCACGAAACAGGGATTGGAATACGCTCTGGCGTGGTTCGTGTAATAAGAATGGCAGTGGCATTGGAAAGCCGAGCACATCTTATCCAAGTATGAAGTTTACAGAAACAATACAACTCTGACAAGCTTCCAGTGAGTATCAGTGATGACAGCACATTGGCTTTACATCCTCGGTTGAGCTTCGCTAAGCAAACACCTTTTACTTGGAACCTGGTCACTTACGCGTTTAACGATCCAGCTCCATCATGATGACGGTACCGTATCGTGCTCCGCTGCATCCTATCAGCAACTCTTCTTTCTTTATCTGCTATCACGAGGAGCTTCGGCCTTGTTGAACAGTTGCCATAAACGAAAAGGTATCGCCAAAAGATGTCCAGAGTGACGCAGTCATCGCAGCATCTCAAAGTCAAAGATGAGGGGCAATGAATTACTCCGGTTCTGCTTCTGAAGAGCTTACCTTGTACGAGGCATCATCCATCATAGCCTTCTTTGCTTACCTCTGTTCCTGCTTTGCGAATATGCCTTCCCGATCTGAATCAAGACACTCTAGTGGTGTACTGTCTCTGCGCCGTTTCCTTACCCAAGGTTTGGTGCTCCTGACCCGCCCTTCACCTTGTTTTATTCTCCTGGCTTTAACTTCGGCACGCTCGAGAAAGGTAAATAATGTCTCCGCTGAGATGTGTATATTCTGGGTCAGATCAGCGAATTCCGCACCAAAAGCCTCGGTGCCAAAATCCTCCAGTCGTAGTTGCAGACTGGCTTGGGGGTGAGCGACAAGGTTTCCTTCATCATCACGGAAGAGCTAAGAGCGTCAGACAAAATCTTTTCAAGTGTATGTTGGCACAAATACCTGGGCTGTAACTGTCCGTACAGCTAATAATTCCTTCTCTCCCACATCATTAGTCCCAATACCTGGACGC